AGGTACTTCATTTAAATTTACATTTGAAATTATATCATATTAATCCATTCAAACATCCTTCCTAATGAGAAAACACTTTTTTCCAAAATGCTGATAAGTTGTTAGTTCTGCAGCTTTTCTGTTTTTGCACAATTTGATATGAAAAGAGTCTTTTTCTGCCAAAGATATGAAAAAATGACGATAATTTAATCAATCAGAATAACCTTAATCTCTCTGCTATATTTATTTAAAAAAAAAAAAGAAAAATTATGAAACATATGAAAAAAAACAAAATAGCACCGTGTAATTCTTATAAGTCTCACTTTACGATTTGCGGAGAATGGCAGAGAATTTTCATTACTTGTCGACTTGGAAATCACCGTATAGAGTTGTATGATATAGAAAGTGAATTATTGAAACCATAAAAGTAGTTAGTATTAAATAACCGAAGTACTGTCCTTTTCCCCCGCAGTTGGTTAATCCTACCCTTGAAATGATGAACAGAGCACTTTGAACTGATAAATCAAGTAGTAAAATATAAAGCAATCACTTCATAACTATCTGCAATGACAGAAAAAAAAAACGTATACTGAACAGAAATAGCACATATGATTGTTACTATTATTATTATTATTATTAATATTATGTTAAAATTTCAGGTACCTCTCAGCTGCTCGTAAATGGGTTCCAGAAGGGATTGATGCATGGAGCAGTTATCTTCACTTGGTTGCTTGGGCATTACCAGCTATTTTAACTATCGCAGTACTTACTACCCATAAGGTTGTTCTTCATATTCATCCAGTTTCTTCAAAAATGATCTTTACCGAATGCAAGTTCCCACATCTCAGTTGCATGTCAATCTATTTTTGTGATTTATTTGCATCTACCACGAAATAATTAGTTAACACTAAGCGACAAATTGTTAATGTCATCTTGGAGACGCATATGAGAAGAATGGTACTATCTAAACCTTTTTTTAAGCAGTAAAGTACGTGATGCATTTGAATACCATGAACAATTTTCATTGATATAATATGTGTTCATTTAAATTAACAATTCCTCATTTCTGCTTATTGACATCTATGCTATGAATAAATTTTAATCCTAATCAGATTTTAAGTTACTCTATAAAGATTACTATCGAACAGAAATGTTTACTAAGCACTTTTAGTAACCAGGCTTAAGGAACAAAGATTCACAAAGAAAGTAGCATTGATTCGTTAGTTCGATAATAAAATTTGAAACTTTTTTTTGTAGGTGGATGCAAACGAATTAACAGGCCTATGTTCAGTCGGTAATGTTGATCCATGGGCTTTATTTGGCTTTATTATTGTACCAAAATTGATTTTTGTTGTAGTTGGAAGTTGTTTGATTGTTGCTGGTTTCTCCAGTATGTGCCGAGAACGTGATTCCTTTAGAAGACGAGTAAGTTTACATTTTGAAATTAATTCACTATCAAATTCAAAATTTACCAAATTTAATCCTTATGAATTTGTCCTTTTGTCACACTTTGTCGTACTTCTTTTCCAAATTTTAATGTAATTAAAATTTAATAAAAATTTTTGCTTCAATAGCATTGGAGAGTATGAAAGCTTTTTATATTATTTTGATCGATATTATCTACAGTTTGAGATTTAGATTTGTTAAACCCATAAAATCGATAACATTCTTTGTAATGGCTACTAAATTGCGCATACAAATAAACATTTTCCATGTTTCTTTGCTTTGGTATAATTTATTTTGAAATGTACTATATTTTTTTTTATTTGAATTTTTAATAAATACAATTTGAATAGGGAACGGATACATCAAAACTGGAGAAGCTAATGGTGAAAATGGGTATCTTCAGTGCGCTTTATGTAATTCCAGCAATAACAATAATTATCTGCGACAGCTACCATATGTTCATACTAATGAAATGGCATCCAACAACTATTGCTTGTAAACTACATGGTGGAATCGAAAAAGGTCATTGTAAAAGGCCTCCATTACCACAGGTATGCAAAAAGAAAGCTGTATTCTCTGCAGTACCAACTATGGGCTTATTCTGTTTGAAAACTTATCAAATAGATTTTATATGCTACGTTTGTTTTGATCTACGGATGAGCTATCTACTACGGTCTAACTTTCTTTAAGGATAGTAATTACGTTTAAATTTTCACACTCATTTTTTTAGGTTTTTGAATAGAAAAGTAAAATTTCTACATGGTGCTTCTATGTTTTTTGATTTACTCTCCCATATAATTCAATATCTGAAACGTTTTTTTTTTTTTTTTTTTTTTTTCCAATTTATGAATTAGAGAAAAGCAAATGGACATTTGTTTGACGAAAAAAGCATTCGTTTAGTGATAAATATCTGAAAGAAGAAATTTTTTTCTTGCGAAGAGGCATCATGCGGGAATTTATTTGCCTTCAAGAATGTAAATTTAGAAAGATTATAAAATATTTAGTTTTTTTGTTTAATTTTATGATTAAAGATTTGTCGTTAAATCACTTTTTTTTTCATTTTTTTCAGGCTGAATTGTATTTTTTGAATATATTCATGTCACTAGTGATTGGCATTTCAACAGGAATGTGGACTGTTTCGTCAAAAACATTTCATTCCTGGCAACGAGCTATCTGTTGCGGTCTATGCTCTACAGCACCTGCAAAATACAGTTCCGGTTGCGGAGTGACTAATTCCGCGACGCTTGCTCCAGTAGGTGCTAATCGACCACTCATCCCACTAGCAAATCCACCGCCCGCTCCACCACAGCATCATCATTACATGCCAATGACTGTATCCTCTTTACCACCGAGCCATATTACTGCGGCCCAAAATGTTACTTCCGCTGTTGTTGCCTGGAAGCAATCGAAAATTATGTAATTTTCTGAAAATTTGGAGCGAAATCGAAATGCTTCTTATTTCTGAAAAAAATTCACTTGTAAAGTTAGTAATGGATTAAAAGCATCAAAATCTGGACATCCAAACGGAACAGGAAGTAACATTCATCTTTATTTAGCTCTTCTGCACACACAGAATTTTAAAAATTAGGTGAATTATTCAGAACTGACAAATTAACTAGCTCGCAAGTGTCCATGATAATTATTGATGTATATTAATTAACCAATTAAATCAGAAATTATTCTGTTAACTGTTTTCTGAGCTGAAAAATTGATATCAAATATGAGAAATTTGTATATTTATTCGAAATTCACGAAAAAATGATATAAGAGAATCATTAAAACAAATCACTGTTCTACCTCGATTTGCTTACAAGCATATAATATCTTAATTTCCTCTTTCTTCATCCTATCTTACTGAATCACTACTTTCAAGAATACATCCGTATTTATGAGAAATAACCTTTTTTTTTTTCTTTCTATTCTTATAAGTGCCATTGCAATATGACAATCCATGACAGTATATTGTGTAATCTTCTGTTGTTTTTATTGTGCCGGACAATGTTTTAATTCATTTGAACTCATCATAGATATATTCAAATAGAAGATTTTTGGTTTTTTCTTATCATAAAGTTATCTAGATAAGGATATTAAAAGGCGGTGTGGTTTCAGACGACTAATTGCGAAAAAATTTGCTCACAAAGAGAAAAGGTGGTTACTCCGTAAAACTAATGCAAGTTTAACGTGTTTATCTGCAATATACTGAAGATGACGTTTACAACTTTTCAAGTCGTTTTCTGACAATTCTTGAGGAAGCTCCATTTGATTTAAAAAGCTGGAATCTCTTATAATTAATCATTGAATTTTAGCAATGGCTGAAGTAATCAAACAGATTTGAAAAGTTCTAAAAGTCAAGGGAATAAAAACCGTTGCTGACGGTTTTAATAAGTGTAAAACTGCTTTTATAAATTTGAAAGAACTCTGTACAAAATTTTATACTTCATTTCTAGAAATGCTAAGGAAATTATCGAATGTTCATGCTTACGAAACTATATCAAATTAGGTGTATAAAATGCGATCCTTCATATTGTTGCATGTTCTTTACTGCCAGCATACTTTTTACTTTATTTCGTCTTCGGTTGTTTTTTAATGAAATTTATTGCATAGTAGTGAAGTATACTATTTATTTTTGCAGATTATTATACTTATTATATTATTAAATTCATTAAATTGTTACATATTGACACCATGGAGTTTTTAAGCTAAGGCAGGAGATTTTGAAATTTTAATTTTAATAAAAGTGACCAAAAGTTGTTTAGCAAAAAATTTTAAATTGGATAAAATGAAAAATGAACTTAAGAGAAAAAGATGATAAAACGTTCCACGTTCCAATTCTGTCTATCATTATCTGTCGCCGTATCATACTTCGGTTTATTTGGTTCCCATCTAGCTGCTTTTAAACGTTTTTTTTTTTTTTTTTTTTTTTTTCACATATGCTTTAACCAACACATTTTGTTCGATTTTGCACTTTTTTCTGCAAAACAGAATATATTAAACGTAGCAAATAAGAATTTTTATTGTTAATATGTTTACAATACTAAAATTTCATTAAAGGAAGCCTTTTTATAAGTTAAATTTACATTCATTTATCCTTACATGAATAAAATATAAAACATCAAAGGAACCGATTACTGGTTTTGTAAGCGGAAATGAAGACTTCTTTGATGTGTTATGAGTTGTGAATTGTGCACAATACAGTAACATGACTCATCTGCAAAGGGGAAAAGGAAAAAGCATTGGACGAACTATTTTCTTCCGGAAGTGATGCTGCAGAATGTTGGGTGGTCAAGACAAGGAGCATTTATATGTAGCTAATTGTGATTTAAGTGGAGCAATTTGTTATTTAATTACATTTTTTGGTAATCTAACTGATATCATAGATGAAATGACAACAAGTTTAGTAAGGAGAGTCAGCAGAATTTGATGGAAAAGTCCTCAATTTGAAAAACGCTATTTGATGGAGAGGATCTTTTCTTCTTAAATAATAGAATTTGATTTGTGAAAATCCATTTCCAAATTGATAAACTACTATCAGTTATGAAAATTTCGACCTTTATTTTGAGTGAATAGAAAAAAATTTATTTTGTAGTTAATGACATCACAGTAAATTGCACAACGATCAGCCATATCATGACGATATATTTATTCACAGACAGCTGCGCATTACTTCTTTCAAAACATTTCTGGTCGATTTGGAACGGAATACAATTCTCAAATTGATGTTCATACGATTCCCAGGTCATCTAAAAAAGCCAGAAATACATGTGATCCTCTCGCTTGATGGGGAATGATTTAAATATTTTAAATTTTTAGCATTTTTCATTTCAAAATCAAGGATTTTAAAAACTGAACTTTATCGTTTCAAATCATACTGATCATCTATTGATATTATGATGAGCATGGGATAAGTTATCTTTAATCTCACAGTAAGTTTTCTCTACTACTAAAAGTTAATTAATTATATAGTTAATTGAAATTAGGAAGCATGAAGATTATCAAATCTAAAGAAAGGAAATCTTTTTTAATCTTAGTGTTGTGTAATCATTGGCTAAAATCCTGTAATTAAGAGTGCGAGATAAAAATGATACTTATGAAGAACATAAATAGTTAGTTCATCGTACAAACATGTAAGCACTTATTTAATTAACTTAATTAATTCAAACCTTATAGCAAACTTCATGAATTGCATGCGATGGTATCAAAATAAAAGTATCGCTCATCCAATCGTCCACTGTACGGTTCCCTATCAAACTTATATAATGTACATGATTATCGAGACGGATGCGATAATGAATGATGAATGAAATCGGTTGCGACCAGTTTGGATTTATATTTAACGAAAATTCCGCGTCATCGCAATTTATTGACCTGAATGAACTATTCATTTAAATGAACCTATTCATTTGAACTTTAAATGAGAATTCTTCCTTATTTACAGTCTTTAGAGCTTCTAAATTATTTAAGATATATTTCTATTTCTGAAAGGGATTATTGGAAGAATAGTTTACATAACTATCCTACTAAAAATTTACCGAGAGTTTAAAATTCTTCGTAGACTAATTTCTTCATTAATTATTAGGAATTTTCAGAAGTATTACTTACCTCACTTTAAATGAAATAAGTTTTGGAAGCCAATCTACCTCCGTGTAATTGGTTTTGGTCAGAAAGCGGGGCATGATTAAAAAAATGCTGGAATGGTTGGACCAGAATGTTCTGTAAACTTTTTTATGATAAACTTCATAACGTATCATACTCTTGAAAAACACTTCATACCACTTGCCGTGTGTAAAATCACATGCTAGATAATCCTGAAAACATAATGAACATACCTAATGATATGATTTTGTGAGTTGAAATTCATTTAAAAGAAATAAATCCAGAAACTCATCCAGCAAATTATGTAGTCTTATTAAGGCGTTTGGGCATTAACAAAAAAGTATTTTTCCATCTCAGAGCATCTCGAAATTCTGATAAAGAATTACGTTTAGGATTACCTCATAACTTTTCGGTAAACTCTTCAGTGGGCAGTTTGCGTTACTGGTATTCCAAATTGGTGTCTTTCTAATAGCTAACTGTGATATGTAATGTGAAAGCGCTTTTTGACATCCAATGTAATATCCTAGGTCGGGTGATATTCGATAGTTTTCTTGATAACCCTTTAAAAAACTGCTACCATTCTAGAGATAAACGATACTATTAATACCTAAATAATTAAATACATTCATTATGAGTTATCATAGATTTTAAAAATTGACAATAACAGACTTCATTATTTATAGACTAAATTATGTCAGAATAGAATTATGTAGTATTAGAAATGAACCTTATATTCCAATTCACAAGTGTTTGGATTACCCATTTCATGCCAAATAATTTGCACAGTAGGTTCTAGACTGGTAACATGTTTCAAATCAGTGTTGTAGTCGTCATGTCTCTTACTGGTATGAAACGATCCACAAGATCGTACTGTTTCTGGGAATAACTAGAAAACAATGATGAAAGGATTTTTTCTAATCACTGCAATGAATTAGGATTGGCTGCAGAGATTTCCGATGAAGTGTGATATCCCTAATCTAATACGCTGGAATTTATACAACTACTTAATAATGAGTGCGACAAAAGCGCAGCAACTTTTATCTGTTCAGGAAATAGTAGCACAAAATATATGTATCATAAAAAAGCGGACATACAACCATAACGTTATCTTTGAGTGATTGTCTTTCATATGAGCAAGCTTCTAGTGATAAACTGATAAATTTCTCCGGAGATATATGATAAAATGCTATAACATGTTGCACCATAGAGTACCACCAAAATGTTAGTAGTATCTTGACCATTATGACCATTATTATATAGAAGAAGGCACCATTCAGACAGAAAATTCCAAGACTCGGCACGATAAATCATGATATAACATAGTCTCTTGAATTCTTCTGAATTTACAAACAGAATTTTGTGGCTTAAGATACAACTTGATTATTCTTAACATCGTCACTTATTTTTCAATATATGCAAATTAATCAGAAAGAACAATTAGACAAGTCTCTAATTGCTTCTGCAAAAGAGATATATTTTTCACTAAAAGATGTTTTTTAAAAAAAATTGTACCAACCTAAGTTCGTCATAAAGCAGAAAAAATTAGTTAATAAAAACTTCAATTGACACTTATGATAATTTATATCAACCAGATAAGTGTCGAAAAATGAGACAATATATAACTAAAGTCTGCATAAAAAAATAACAGAAGCATAGCAGAATGAATCTAGCAATTTGCTTCTTCCCATGAGTAAACTAAACTTTCCTGCATGGAACATTTCACAAACACATTGTTGGAAATAGCTGACTCTTTTCCAAGCCAAGACCCTCTCATTTCCCTTTTTTATATCATCCAATGCCATGTTCTCGGAAAAGTATTAGAAAATAACAAAACCTTTTTTCTTTTTTTTTTCTTTCCTTTTTTTTAGAAAAATATACCATCTGTGCATCAATTTAAAAAAAAAAATGAAGCACAGAATGTCGTCGAAATATTGTTCGACACAATTAATTTATCCACCACATATCAATGATGGTAAACCACAAACCTGTCGTATGACAATGTTTTCCAATCAATCACAACTGCCCAGGTAATTGATGACAACTTCAACTATGAGAATTATTACAATTCGCTATCAAATAATGGCATTTTCACCTCATTTTGACTACTACTGCAACATCAAATCATTAGCTTATTCCTGCCAAATCATTCATTCGAGAATCTATATATTATTTTAAACTGGGAAGAATGTATTTTACTTATTCACTTTAGTAAATAGCGAGAATTTGATTAAAAAAAATTGAGGGCTGCAAAAATATTTTTAACTTTGGTAAAAAATAAAGCCTGAGTCCTATAGAAGCGATGAATTATATACTCAAAAATTTCTCTATGCCTTCCCTCAGATACAACATCCGAAGTTTTTCCTATGAATTAATGTAATAAACATTAATTAAATAGTCCTCAAAAGAGAGTTATAAAAAGATCACTATTTGTCATGTTTCGAAATTTGTAATGTCTAGAGGAGAAAAATTAAAAATCCAAACGTTCTTGAAACTTCAACCTGCAAAGTAAAGTACTGAAGGGATGAGTAAAAGCAAATGAATGAATGACAAAGGAAAAAATGAAAAGCTATTTTTTGTATGTTCAAGTAAATGTCTGACCAATAAAATAATGAAGTTTTAGACAGATGATAATGACATTAACACAGTATCAAGAAAAAATGTTGGAAAAAAGTAGCCAACATGCTTATGAGATGTAGTCTTGATCATAAAAGAAGAAAATTTTTCTATCATTCGCATTATTGACTGAATCATCTTGTCACAGTCATCTTTTATACTGTCAAATGTCTTTATGAAACTATTCATCATCGACTTTTTCTGAAAGACATTTAGTCATCTTCCACGAGAAACAAAGATCCAGAATAATCACACAGGACGTGATTTTTGGTTAATAAAGTCTATACTCTTTTTTCGTGGCCTGAAGTATCCGTCGCGCATTTCAGGTTTCAATTCAAATACAGGAATTAATTTGATAATGTATTTCTGAATTCAATAAATTGGCAAGGATCTATAGACCATGAGTGACTGCCAAATGGAAAACGCTATATTTAAATGGTGACAATCTCATCCTTAATTTTTTGTATAGGAAGTAGACAACCAGCAAAGAGGAATCACACAATTGCTTAAGTTAAATATTATGATACGTAACGTGAAACTCACGGATGCCTACCATGAACTGCGTTAGCAACTGACGTAACTATCTGAATTGCATGTGTCTCATGAGATTAATGTTTTCATGGTGGCCTGCGTTGGGATAGGATGTGGAAATTGTTGGCAAATGTGGTGTCAAATGTGGTGTCTCAAGGTTGGGAAGTATTTGTTGAGGTGTTTGTGGTGAGGTATGTCGAGTATGAGACAGTCGTACCAATCAAAATAGACGCTACCAATTAACGAAACATCATATGATAAAATCCTAAAGGAATAATTGGACGTGCAGTGAAAGTTGATGGGACAATTAGTAAAAAAACTTAGGTTGTTTAGTAAAAAATTAGTAAAAACGACTGTCTCATACTTAAAATACTTCTTATCTTTTCCTTTCGTATTGTTGCTTTTGATTACTCCAATTTGTTGCAGTTATAAAGACAGGTGGATAAGGTAGGTATTTACCAAAGGAAGTGTTTCAGTTCTTAATTATGGATAATATATCAGCAGACAGTAAGCCTCATTATCAGATTTCGTTTTACTGTAACAATGAAAAGTAAGTCATGTTTCTTATCTGTTATTTTCTCATATCTTGTCTTTCTCGTACGATTGTTTTTGCGCATCGTAAATATCTTTTATAGTTCTCCAAAAAGTGAGGAATGCTTCTGATCTTGCATGTTTTTAATTCTCGTTTATTGCAGTTATCGCCATATTCCAAGTCATACTTTATCTGTACCGACTGATATTACAGTAGATAAATTAAATATGCTCGCAAATAAAACATTGAACAACATATCTGGTTAGTACTTGACCATTTATGTTGAATAGGCTTTCGATTGGTAAATTTTCTGCCTTTCCTTCATATCTAAATTGGACTTTTAATTGGCAATTTTTTCGCCTTTTATTCGAATTCTATAAATTTTTTTTTGAATTTCGTCTGTTACACTTAAAAAGTGCTAGTGATTGATAATGGTATATAGTTATATTGGAAAGTCTTTTTATGTTCACAAGTATACATAACTGCATAACTTTCAACAATGAAAAAGAAAGTTGACCTTGTAAAATGGAAGGTCAATGACTGTTTTTACTAATTTTTTGAATTTTCCTATTACTTTGAGCAGTTCATTAATTTGTAAATGTCTTTAAAGATAAAGAGTTCGAATCAGTTGCTTTCGATTTTCTCATATCGTCTACCATTTTGCGGACGACGTTAGAGGAATTTGTCCAGGAAAATCATGTTCCAGTTGTAAGTTTCTAATCCTAACTTATTATATTTTCACGTAAAAGTTTAGAAAACGTTCTTGCTTCATTTTTAGTCATTAAACAGTTGGTAGATTACATACGAAACTATCCAATGCTATTTCTGAAATTGTAATGAGAATCACTTTTTCAGGAATCAGTTATCAGCATTGAGTGTATTGTTCAGGAGCCAGCACCAGAACCTGATTCTGATATTGCCTTGCTTGACTGGATTGGCGCGATTAGATGCAATGACAAGTTGTAAGCTTTCCATGTATGTATTAGTTGGTTTGATATAAATCATCGGTATTTTTTAGTTCTACAAACTTATTCAGATTGGTATAACAGTGATTTAAATTAACATTATAATTAAGTTTGCTGACTGGTTGTTGTACTAAACAGAGACTTTTTTTAAAATCCCTTCCACTTTGCTAGCATTGCATCTGCTACATATGGTGGTGAACTTGTGTTGTGGAATCATTATGGGAAGAAACTGACGTCATCAGTTTTACATGAAGAAGCTATTAAGTGTCTCGCACTTCTACCCGATCAAAAAGGTTGATGAATTTGAGATTTTCAGTTTTGAATCAAAATTACTTTAATTTAACCGCTTATTTGATTTCATTGATTTACTACCAACTTCAATTACGAATTGATATTGGAACTTAGTTATTTATCTAGTTTCATAAATTGCATGAATTAATTTTTGAAAATAGCAGTACTTTTCAGAGGATCGAATTGTCACCGGCGGACATGATCAAGTCCTGATGTTAAGTGATGTAGAAACACATGGATCATCCACTTTTATAAAGCCAACATGTGTATTGCGCGGTCACGAAAGAAGCGTTGAAGCTATTGCCGTGAATACCGATGGTACTCGAACGGTTTCAGGCGGTTTTGATAAAATGTTGAAAGTATGGAATACGGATAAAGGTTAAATTCTATTTTTCTATCATCATTTAGAATCGAATTTTCATTTATCATTTTATTCCATCATTTAGATGGGAAAATTATTTTACTGAGTTTGCCGAAATTCCAGTTTAGTGAATTGGAACTTTAATTTCAGTATATTTGATTTTAAAATTGTTTTATACAGATGATACGTCTACTGTTTTCGAAAAAACAAGGAGTGAGAAAACGGGAAAGAAGAAGAGAACTGATATTATCACTAAGGTATACATCACCGTTCCTTGAAGAGTTATAATGATCTGTTTTCATGCGGTTTTAAGACTCTTCAAGAATATTAGGAAAGCGAAAGGTTCCTTTTGTTTTCTCACATCACTTCATTGGAACTGTTATCTAGATTCCTATGGTTACTTTGTCTGGTCACAAGGACGCTATTGTCAGTGCAGTTTGGTCCCCTAATTCTGCAAAAGAAGTGTTAACAGTTTCATGGGATCACACGATATCCATCTGGGATTTGGAACTAGCAGGTATGGTATAGCTTAAAGAAACTATTTACTAGTAACGTATTCTGCTTAATTCATATCAGTAATGCATGTCCTTAAATAGTAATATTATAGAAATTAGAACTGCTGTTAAATGTGATAAGTGACATAATGAAAATACAATCACTAGAGCTTTTAATTTTATCAGAAGCGATGTAATGTCATTCTACACTTTCAGGTCAGATAAATACTTTAGCAGCAAAGAAGGCGTTCACAAGCATTTCAGTTTGCTGTTCAAGTGGCATGCTCATAACTGGTTCAGTAGACCCGGTTGTAAGGTTATGGGATCCACGAAGTCATGGTACTTTTAACAGTAATGAATTTTTAGTTCAAATTGATTAACGCAACAAAAATTTACATACAGTAAATGATTCTAGTATCTGTAATTGTCTATTTATTTAACAATTTGTATCTTGATGCAAATTTAGAAGGGACATTAGTGAAACAGTCATTTATTGGTCATTGCGGTTGGATCTCATCTGTTTTTTGGAACAAAGTAAAAGAAAATCTCTTTATTTCCGCCAGTTTTGATAAAACAGTAAAAATGTGGGATGTAAGGTAATCTTTTTTCTGATACATATTTAAAGATATATAATTATGATTTTTATCATATTCCAGCTGCAGATTATAAGATTCCAACCTCATTCTTCATATACATAGTACTTTTGCGAATTTTCCCTATACTCAAACAAATTAACCAGACAGGCGAATTAGTCGACTTTGTTTTTTTTTTTTTTTTTTTTTCACTGAAAGTAGTTCCGGAGATTTACAGAAGTAACAAAACTCCTTTGTACGATCTCGTTGGCCACAGCGATCGTATACTATGCTGTGACTGGTCAGTGAACGAATTAATTGTGAGTGGTGGCGTGGATTGTACAATGAAAACATATCGAAGGAAAATGTGAAAGTTAATCAGTCGGTGATAATTTGAAACAAAATTATGAGCAGTGATATGCATAAAAAAATTATTAAAATCGCACTTGTGGGATGGTACTTTTTTTAATAAAAGTTTAAGGAATAAAGTAAGATAACTGCTCAATTATTCCTGTCGTTTCTGGATTATGCAATTAGAGGATGCTCAAATATTGGAAAAAATGTACTAACATTTGTCTTCTTATATTTTATATGATATTGTTATATTCTTCAATTTATACGTTTCCGGTGCTTATGTATATTTTGTTAAGTTTCTGAAAAATAAAACATTATCAGTCAATTATTTTCTTAACTTTTAAAAGCTGTTTTTGTCCAAAGCATATTTCTTATCCATTTTTGTTCGGTTTCATGGTTCTATATAGTCTATATTTATATGTTCTAGTTCTAACATCATAGTGAAATTTTAAAACAGTTGCGTTTTCAGATAACATTAGGTTGGCGAGGTTATATATGATTGGCAAGCTTGAATAAGAGTTGTTGTTGATAGCAACCAGATGTTACTCAAAAAAGTATTCCACGCTATGAAGTATAGGGAGAGTAATTTATTCGCGACTGTTGAAATCTCATAATGTATGTTATACCAAGACAAGATTCTAGCAGTCATCTCTGTGTGCTGACTGTTGATGGAAGATTTTGATGCGGACTATTTTCCAAACGAAACAGTATTCAAAAGTTGAATTTTTTAATGGAATTATTTCAGGTTTTTTAAATTTTCTACTGGTGATACACAATAAAGAGAAGTCATGGGGAAAGGTTTTCAGAATTTTATGAGCAAAAAGGATTTCCATCCAAGTGCTTGGTGGAATATCAAGAAGGTATATATTTCTTGATAATTTTACTTCTTATAGTTTTCACGACTATACACATCCTTTGGGGAATTCTTTATGCATGATTATTTTTTAGGTATGGGAAGCACGTCAGAAAGATGAGATGGAAAAAAAACGTCAGGAAGATTTGCGTGTTGCATACGAGCGAGAACAAGATATACTCAATAATAAGTATGGTTTTTTTCATTGATAACCGAAATAGAAAAGTGGTAATTACTGGAAACTAAGTATAATATTTGTGATAATAATACTGAGTTTATTTCAGAGCTCTTCTGGGAGATGAAAAGGCACGTATGGGTCTTTCGTTCATGTATGATGCACCTCCTGGTATCAACAAAAAAGAAGAAGATAAACCCGAACCAAAATTCGAGTGGCAAAGAAAGTACAACGCACCGAGAGAAGAGCAAGTTTTTTAATTTTTCATATATATATAAATCTTAATAGTTATTTTATATTCTTATGATTTAGTACCTATTTTTTTCGTTTCTTTTATTTACATTTAACAACTAGCAGAAGAGAATTATGGTTCCTTCTCATTTTTGCTCTATTTAAATAAAATCTTACAAAAAAAATTTTTTTTTGTTTTCATCGTCGTTAAAAAATTTTCGTATTGGCTATTAAGCATAAAGTATTTTGCTAGTCTAGTATGTATATGAATGAAATAAAGCTGGAATTTCATATCTTTTAGTAAAACATTTTTCTTCAACATTTGTAGTACTTGTTATTCGTAAATATGGATCTTAATAATGTTTAATAATATATATGATGCAGATGATTGTTATGATTTAGCTGGGCCAAAAATAATGATGCCATAACTGATCAACCCTTCGGCATACAAGTACGTAATGTTCGATGTGTGAAATGTCACACATGGGGACATTTGAACACAGATCGTGAATGTCCGTTATACAATATGAGTGGAAATTTCGAAGATCCAGGGTGTAAGTTGCTTCCCTTTTTCTGTAATTCATTTTTTTAATTTTCATAGAAGAAAAAAAAACGTGTTTTTCTTTTTTTCCACCTCGGGTGAGGAAAGTGATTTAGATAAATGAGTCTGAAGTGTCTTGAAACAGTAGACATTTCCTCAGTCTTGTTTTGCTTCAATGTTTTGAAATTTCTTATACAGGATTTGCTAGAATTGAGCAAAATTTATTCTAGATACATATATCACTTTTCGTGTTTGCATAATTCTAAATATTTTAACTTTCTAGATGCAAATAATCCATCTGATTTGTTCAAACAGCTGCAGAAGGATCGCACAGAGGAAAAGGCGTCTCAAAAAACAAAAGTGAAAGAAGCACTGAAAGTTCGATCAACAAAACATGTTATTACTACTGCGAATGATGAAGAAAATGAAGAACAATGGGAAGAGTTAACTTATGATCAGTTAGCAGAGAATATGAAAGAAGAGCATGGGTTGACCCTAAAGAACAATATATTTCAAAATATGCGTGCTGAGGAAAGCATAATGGTATGTTACATTAAATATTCCATCACCTACCAGCATCTCATAAAATTAGATTAAATGGTTGTCATTACTACTACTTCTATATAATTGCGGTTTTATAATCAGTTCGTTTTCTGTGTTAAAAGATATCATTTATTAAATGACCAGGAACTTATTGATCTAAGCGAAATAAGATTAAACCATTGTGTTAAAACTTTGCTGTTTTGTAGTTATGCCTAAGTAAATATTGCAGAACATGGGTTTAAGGTCAGAGCAGGAAAAAATGGCAGTATTTTTCAATACTCTTAGTGAAAAAGAAAAACGTAAATTATCAAAGTAATTTTTGTTTTTTTTTTTTTTTTTTTGTTTCCTACTTCAATAACGAATCATATGATTTTGGTAACATTTAAGTTGCTGATTCTTAGTTTATTTCGGTTGACGAAAGACGGAATCCCTAAAAGTCAATAGTTTTTCAGAAAACTTCTATCAGCTACAAGTGACAGGAGTGATAAAAAGAAAAGGAATAAACGGATGAAGAAATCAAAATCTGAGAAAAATGAGAAAAAAAAACATAGAAGGCGAAAAATTGGTTAATTTTTGCACTATTATAAATCGTCATATGATTTATGTTATTCTTTATGTTTATGCTTGAGATATTAAGAAATTCTAAGCAGGTGCATTTCCATTCTGGATAGTTTTAATTTTCAACACTTCCCCACTTTCACCTTACTGTCAATTGTACTATAAAGAGTAGACAAAAGTTGTTATGTACTCCGTGTTCTAATGAATGCCTTTAATTCATTCTTTTTACTCAAAATGTTATTGATTACTGCGTTATGAAAGATACAGCTTGTAATGTCACACTGGATTTTTTTTGAATTCAAGATTCATGTTCTTAAAAAGTTTGAAAACTTGTTATCCGCGTACCTATGATTTTATGTATAAAGACAAACATGAAATCATTTGTGCTGTCCAAGTCCTTCTGAAAAGCACATAAAAAAAATCTTTATCTTTCAGAAGATTTCGGTGAGTCGTCAATGCCAGAGACTGTTCATGATGAAAAACGGAGAAGAGTAGACAAAAATGGAAAACACAGATCTCATGTTGGTTTGGATGGAAAAACGGGCTGCTTTGAAGCAAAGGAATTTGGAACCACGAGACGATCAAGAATTTCATCATCACAGTCAACAGACAAGACATCGAAAAGGCAAGACATCGAAATCGTTGAGAAGGCAAATCGTTCACGTTCGCATCATAAATACCACCGTAGTTATGATCGGTAAGAATTGGAAGGAACATTTTAGTGAACAATTGTTTTGCTTTCGGTGAAGAAGTATTTTTTTTTTACTAAAAATTGTTTCCATGAAATATTTTACTCTCCGTAACTCGCTTTCTGTATGACTTTTTTTAAATAAGCTCATGGAGTTTAACGAAAGTGACCTTCATTCTTAAAAGTTAACATTAAAGGGCAGCTTGAATTGAACCAGGAGCACTGATAAATAGATAGATAGGTCCCATCCTCGCAAGAATACCCGCACAAAGCGGTATGGAATTTCTGAAATTGTTCTTCATTCTGATACTGTACTTTTTTATTACACAGTGGAATTCTTCTGTAATAATGATTGGTGACAGTTCCTCATATAATACATGAAAGCCTTCAACGAACCCAATAAGCAGTTAGTAAATAGTTTGTTGTCATCTCTATGTTGATGGAGCTGATTATTAATGCGTGAAGGTACTTTTAGATTATTTAATTGAAATTTGATTTCTTTTCATTTATCAGAGGATTGGATATATGATTCTTTGGTAGCACTGGGTGAAAAGTTCATCGAAGCAATTTTTATGTATTCTAAAGCCTTTATAAGCAAAGGCTAAATGTGCTTTATTGATATTTTTTGCTGTTGTCTGCTTAACATGAATAAATATTGACAAACAGACTTAATTATCAATGACAGTTTTTTTCCTTGTTCTATTCTTTAAGGCTTTATTCATGTGAATCTTTAGGTGCAGTCTGCTCTGGAGCAGTATTATTGAGATTTTGGAGGGTATATTATTAGCAGACATTCCGTAGTACGCTCTTATTTTCTTTGACTTTCTTGATGAAGTTTTGGATTTTGGTTGTATTAAAATTTGTTGCTTTTTTTCTCTTCATTAAGCCTTGTACATATGGCTTCATATTGTTGAAGTGAATAAACATAATGAAAGTGAAGGAAACAAGCCTCTGAAGACGAATTTCAAAAATCTGTGATCCTTAAAGAAGGATGAGTCTTTATGAATGATTGTGAGATTGTGAGGAGGGCTAACAGAGATGCTGAGCCTAAGAACAAGGACGAGTAAGAGTATAAAAAAGGGCCCGGTTGTGGTTTAGTCTTGTCAGTTAGGTCTTACTGAGTGTCAGACTTGGTAAGCTTAGCTAAACTGAATCAAACAGCAATTCAGTGCCTTTTCGTCTTCAATCCTTCCTTGGATATGAGATGAGCAAGCCTAGTAGTGGTGGTGGTGCCGCTGGGTCTAACTGCTTATCGAGCTAATATTCTTGGAACCCGCAGAAGGATAACAAAATCGATTCTAATTTTCAAATTTGAAAACCGACGAAGATGGTGGAAGGAGGCATTATTCTTGTCAAATATTTGCTTTTCCTTGCTAACTTCATTTTATTGGTAAGTTAATGGTTGAATATCTTAATTTCTGCTTTATCTATTTATTTCACATCACTTTACCATACTCATTTCCAGTTCAATATGGTGCGTATGGCATTTGTGATAAGATTTATTTACTGAAAATCATTTGACACCGCTGAATTTTATTTAAAATTGATGAAGTGATGTTAAGTGAAAAAAGTTTCCTTAGCGTAAATAATGAGATCAGGGAAAAGAAATTCTGCTAAACAACTAAGTCATTGATTGTCAACTATTTTTAAAGCTTCCTTTAAGATCAAATTGAATTTGTAAATAGGTTCGCTCTTACAATGAGTAATGAAGTTCTTTTGAATGGATATGGGAAACTCTGTTCAAAGAAAGCAATGTTTTCAAGAATAGATCAGTTCATGGAAAAAATCTCTAATAATGAAGATATATGAAAATAATTGTATTGGTTGATGGAATTAGGACTAAAATTTGGGGAATTCAATAATGTAATCAAAATAAATTAAGTTTCGAAATCAAATCTACAATGAGCAAACATTTGAAAATGAAGAATTCACATTACAACAACATTTTTCAGCTGATAGCTTATCTCACTTATGCAAGATACTATTAAGTGCATTGATTAAAAAAAGATAAGACATAAAAGATAAGACAAAGCCTTCAATAAAGAATTATTCCTTACTGATTTAATCATATTACAGAAGTACTCGAAAATTAATTTGCAGCATTAAATTTAAAAAGATCTGAAAGAATTTCTGAGCAATCCATTTAATGCATTTTTACTTGATGGATCAGTAGTATTGTGGACATCCGAAATTTCTCATATTGGAAAGACTTTATGCAAGGCATCGTATTATTACTGGAAATAAACCGAATGATTTATTCATACTGAGAGTGACTGAAGCGGAATTGTTTCATCCCATACTTCTTATTGATTTAATATGTGTGAAAAATTGCTTCAAAATTGGCTGTATGTATTATGATGGACGAAATTCAGCTGAATTTCAAGCTTTCCACAAAGTTAATTAATTGCTGTATGGAAAAGTCTGTTTTATTAATTATTGTGATGTTACAACTAATTTATTTTTATCCGTTAGAAAGTTGGAGGTTTTAGAACGTTTAATGATTACGAATAGTAAATTAACTATTTATCATAGATCGCAAGTGAAAAACGAAAATGAATCACTCAGAAATAACAGATTCAAATTGAAAGTCATCAAACTTTCTGTGAGTTATTAGAGAAGAATAAATCTTTAACAGCAGATGTATTCTGTACCTTTTTGCAGTTTTAAACTTTCTATATTATAATTTTAGGTAGGTGGTCTAGGTCTAGTAATTGCGGGTGCGGTACTACAGTTCAAGTATACCGGTTTACTGGATATATTGGGAGATGAAAGATTAGCGACACCAATATTGCTGCTTGCTGCTGGCGCACTTTGCTCCCTCTTGGGTTTTTTGGGATGTTGCGGAGCAATTCGAGAGAATTATTGCTTAACGGTAAGCTTCGCTGTTCTCCTAACTCTGGTACTGACGATTGAAACAGCTATTGCTATCGCGGCTTACGCATTACAGGAACCGCTTCAGGTTAGCAGTTTATGGGAATTTTATAATTCTAAAAGTTATTCTAAAGACTATCCTTTTCCAAAATATTAGTTTTCATATTTAAATTCAAATTCACAAAGGGTAAAATTTCCGCATCACTCGTCCTACAAGTAAACTAAATAATCGATGTGAGAAATAGAAAGAAAGCAATTAGAGTATGATTACGTTGATATATTATTTAAAAGTTTTAGGCCTCCTTATCGCAACAATTAACGTTGGGTTTACAAAGGTACAATCGTTCAGCAGGTGTTCGGATGGCTTGGGATCAAACTCAAAAACAATTTGCATGCTGTGGAGTGCACAATTTTACAGACTGGAATACTCCGCCAGATTCATGTTGTATTCAGGTTTTACCTGGTTGTCGACTGATTCATCAAAATTTACAACCTTCAGGTTTCCCTAACGACCATTTCTTCGCTTTCATAAATTAATTAATCATCAAAAACTTGAAATTTTGAACTCTAATTCTCGATTGGAGCGAACTACACGTAAGTAATGACGATTTTATTAGGAAAACTCTTTCTTGTTAATAATTTCAATATATATTCTCTTTTAATATGTAATTTAAATGTGGAAAAAGATAGCTTTATTTTAAGAATTTCCTGAATGCATCATTTCAGGTTGTATGGAACGTTTAGAGCATTGGCTGATCTTAAATGCAGCAATGGTTGGAGGATTTAGCGCCATTGTTGGCTCATTACAAGTAATCGGGATTTGTTTTGCTTGCTGCTTGTCCAAATCGATACTAAAGGACTTTCACGATTCCTATTACTAACTAACATTAACAGTGTTACATTTTCTCTCTCATTGATGATCCTTCCTTTAGATCAATCCACATTTCTATCAGACATTCTGCTCTTCTTAATAACATAATTATACCAGGAGCAAATGTAGATTACTCAAATAAGATAAAATTAAAATATTTTGGAATGAATTCAAATTATATTTGTAAGTACTCGAGAAATACGAAAGTGTAAAACTGAAATAACAAGTCATGCTTGCAATGATATGATCTGCATGTATTCGATATGAATGAAATAAAATCTGAGCAGAAAAATTACGCAAACGTCAGTATGATCCATGTGGCAATTAAATGAAACGAAGTAGAAAAAAAAACCAATGGAACTTGTAGAATTAACTCCAGGATTTCAAATAAATAATGAGCAGGAATTATGTGTACGACAAAAAAGATATGTATTCATTTTTTTTCTTTTCTTTCACTAATGTATTTTTTGAACACTTCATAAATTCAAGTGAAAATCACTGTACAAAAGAAAAATTAGAAAGATGAAGCGATGGTGAAGCCAGCAAAATGTGCATTAACTGATGAAAAAAGAGAGGAATAAGGAAAGAAATACCCTGCTTGGTAAATGGAGAATAAGTATAAGTTAAGTAATAGCAATGATGATAATGAAAAAGGGAAGAAGATACCTTGGATAGAGCTGTGTCAACTACATACGCATTCGTACGCTGGATGGGCCACTTTTAACATTTGCCTCAAAAATGTGGTCATTCTTTGTTTTGTTTATACTTGACCTTCTAGGTCAGTAATTTCATTTTAGATGGCTCATCCTGTGCACATAGGAAGCAAGCAATAAAAGCACAAAATAAACTGAAATTAGCACCCATTCTTGTAATAGGCAATAATAGCAAGATTTTTTGCCAAATTTTTCAGTCCTAAATTAAAAACAAATTCCAAAAAATAAGGATAAGCCAGAAACATTGATGAATAGAACTTGATGAACGAATTTTACTAATTTTCAAGCAAAATATTTAAATTCACTTCTTATTTCTTCATCTCGCACTAGTAGTTTCATTTTCTGGTTTGGTGATTAACAGGACATCCAGTCAATTTTTCCCAAGAAATTGGAATTTGTTAGTAGATGAACCCCTGACAAAAAAGCGAATTTCACTTTGTAAAATATAATTATGTCTAAAGGAAGAGAAGTTAAAAGCCAAGTTAAAAGCATTGCCAGCATTAGAGAAAGAATAACAAATCCGTGATATACATAAATTTGCATAGCATAACACAATTCGACACAAGAACAACTAATCAAAGTGAAAACATGGCTTACTATAAAAACGTTCCGTGAACACATATTATATTAAAAATCAAGATAGTGCTACCAAGAAATATGCATTAGCTTCAATTAGAAAGTTAGATAAAAGTAACTCAATCATTTCTTCTAAAAGACTATTTCACTACTGTGATAAAAAAATCATCATGCTCCACGATTACTTTCAATTTCTTAAAACCGTAAGTATGATAAGACTTGTCAAAAAAAAAAACACACAGGTAATATATCTTTGACATCTACTGTAGTGGAATTCTAATTCAAACAAGCCATGTCCTGCTTGAAAAATGAGAATAATTAGGTATATCACCACCACAATTATTCTTCCACTAATCAATTAGAAATAGAAAAAAAATATAAAATTTGAATAATTCGTTATAAGAAAAGCTCAGAATCTTTATAAATAAGAAATTTACTTTGGAGAACTCTGTATATCTTTGGTATAGCTATTCGCACAACTTCGTTCATTTCAGCAAATCTTTTCACTTCTTTTTCTGGCAGTGATTTAAAGATGAATTTATAGTTTGATTAAATTAGAAAATGATTACTTGAAAAGAAAAATCTGTCCTATTCTTTCTTGAATTAACTGGAATATTGCTTCTCTAAATGATAGATGACTTAGTATGAAATCAAAATTTTTTCCTGAAATTCCGGGCAAAAATTTTTCAAATTCTGTTACTTCTCTAATTCTCTGAATACTGCTCAATACCTTTAAAACAGTTTTAAAATAAATGAAGGAAAACCGCGAACTGACATTTTGAACACAGCTGGTTTCCTGCAACTAAACAATTATTCTTCCACTCATCAATTTCCCTTCCCATCTCTTCTCATCCTCTTAAAAAAAAAAGGAAAAAAAAAAAACCAACGCCTTCTTCATTGCTCATCCGTACGGATAAAATACCAGTTTGAATTTTTTAAATTTTGACTAAAGCAAATTTCAGAGACATGATGGAAAAATACAAAAATAACAAGCATCAAAAGAAAGCATAAAACAAATCACATTTTGAATGACTTTTGTGAAGCAGAAAGTTTATAATGAATTATTAACAAATTTCAGAATAAAAGTAAAATTCTATCAATGTTCATCAGAGGTTAGTAGTAGTGAGGTTGGAGGTGAGGATATCAGGGCACAGGAATTCTAAATACCGAATTTCTAATGAACAATAGTGGGTACCTGAGATCGACCATGTACAATCCTAGCATATGCTTGTGAATAACTACTCAATGTTTTACTGCTACATACCCATACAGCACATGTTATGCCGACCACAAGTTCCATTAAATATTTGAAAAAATAAATCAGTAAATCCGGTGGTCTAACGTCTGTTTGAGATACACACGTTTGACGTGGCTGCGCAAAACCAAAAGCAGCGCGATCAGGCCTCGTACATCGGATAGCCAACCAATTAGCCAACCAGCTTTCCATCATAAATGCTTCATAAACAATACATGCAGCACTAACCATTGTTGGGAGGGTATACATAAAAGCAAATGCTGATATTCGGAGCATCAATTTCTCCAATTTCCGGATATTTTGATCAATATCACTATGTTTGAATTTAATGTAACGGCGTATCCGAAGCATTGAAATAATGCCACATCCCAATAATAATAAACCAAGTGCTATAATTAGAAACCAAGAAAATTTTTAAATTTGGAATTATTTACGATCATTAGCGGTGTTACTGTTATATAGCGAAGGAAGATTTGTTTCACGAGTTAAACATCTCATTTTAAGCACATCTCATCTTAGGTAGCGCGAAATATGATTTTAATTTACATTTGTCAGAATTGAATGATTAAAATTTCATCCCGAAACAGTTGTAAAGTAATAATTAACAGAAGAAAATCTAAGGATGCTTTCATTCCTCATTTAGTAATATATTAATCCAACGACAAAGTTTAAAAATAGGGTAACTTCAAATCTTTAAAGTATGCACTGAAAATGAAAGAAAAAAAAATTGAGAATCACTCACCGATGCACACGAACATTGGCACAAAAACAAAATTGAAAAGAGCTGATGGTCTCAAATTTCCTACTGAACAAATTCCAGTGAATAAATCACCATCGATAGTATTCGTAACAAGAATAATAATTGCTAGAAATGCTGGGATGCCCCAGGCAAGAACATGGAAATATGAGGCTAAGCTTTCAATAGATTCCTGCGCCCATTTTAGATTTGCTGCCAAAAACCAAGCTAAACATAATATCACCCACCATACACCACTAGCTACGCTGAAAATATTGAATTTTTTTTAATTTTATTTAGCATAAATAGAATTCCTTGTACTAAATTTGTTTGCCATGTAAATAATTTGTGAGAAAGTTGCCAAAGTTATTCCTATCTAAACGTAGACGTTTAAATTACATGCCCATTTAAAAGAATCACACTATTTACTTACAAAATTTCTGAATATAGATTTTCGAAAAAAGCAAATCCGACAAAGTGAAATTAATTTGATATTAACAAATATCGGATTAATCTATTAGTTATTTAAGCCGGATGATCCGTAATTAAGGCTATTAATGAAACTAACCTGAAATAATAATGTGTGACCGCAATAACAGTACATGAGAAACTGTCGATACCTTGAGAAACGAGTGGACTGTTACTGGCTGAAATGGCGGAGCAGGATATTTTATCCTCTGCAACCAAACCAACCATATAAACGAGTGATATAAACAGATAGCATAATGCTAAATAATGGATAGGTCTAACTGGATAAGGGAAACGTGCCATATCGATTGAGAATGTTAATACTGTGAACAGTGAGCTGGCACAACATGCTACTGCCCAAGCACCTGAAAATTGAAGACCAAAGAATTTCTGGGACTGTCAAAAGAGCTTAGTTTTCATGATATGTCCCAGACTTATCCATTAAGCTCTGTTTTGTTTTTCAAAACATCAATCGAGAATATGAAGTGATAACCAAGCAATATTTCTTGATTGGTCAATAACCATTCTTTAACGCAAGATTTTTGGTGACAGAAACTGAAAAAAAAAAGACGTTATAAAGTGACCAACCTGTCCAAAATCGTAAATATCGTCTTATTCGAGTGTCGAAAAACATTGGTACTAAATTATCAGCAGAACACGGCAATGAGCATTGCTCCAGTGTGGTATTCGAAATTTTCAAAGAATACCTTGATTTACTAATAACCTACAAAAATATTAATTTGATCAAGGAATGTTTATTTCTATAGTACTCTTGTCATTTTAGAGGAATTCATTCTTTTTGTAACTGAAAAACTTTCCCTTAGAAATATTAAATATTGAAAAATTAAAATAAACTAGAGATAATGAAATCAGTTTGTGCTTCTGACTTAAAGTAGTTTTTGTTTACAACAAAAATAAAAGAGATTCATTCGTTTGCGAATCACCGTTACCTGCATGGTATGAGGGCATTCAATTTGTGTAATCGAAGTTCCTGATCGTGAATGCGGTGCCTCGGTGCTCGTATCCGGCTTATTTTCCCCGACACACATGCCATCTACGGGAAAACGCTCGCACGCCAGCAAAGGTGGCCACTTGAAGCCAAATTTGTTCATTAAATTTTCACATCCATTTTTGGCAGACAAACAGAGATGCCGGCATGGCGGTATAGGACGTTCGAGCACAGTGCATACAGGTGCATATATGGTACAAAGGAAAAATTTCAGATCCTCGCTACATTTCACCTGGAATCTTTTCTTTATTTGAAAGTTTTATCAAGAAAAAAATTTTTGGATTTGGAAGGCTTTCCCCTTTACTGACTAACTCAGCGGTGATAAAGGAAAACTATGAAGAATTTTGAATGTTCTCAATAGTGAACCAATTAGTAAATTTTACACTTCTGTGTACTATGAATTGAATTTATCTATTCTGGTAGAGAATTGTGCTTTGCAATATCAGTTTATTAGTTGAAGAACTCTTGGAACTTTATAAATTATGAAAGACTATTGGAAAAATCGACTTTCAAGAAAAGACAAAGACAAACTAAAGGCTAACAGTTTTCACTTTTATTCACTGGTGCCCTTTGTGCTAAAAACAATTACTTTACTTAATTATTTTTATTAAATAAAATTAGATTAATTAAACAATTAAATAGAATTATATTAATTATTTGTAATAACAATTGCTTGCTTGAAATAACAATTACTTGTTGAATTTGTTACTAAAAATCATCCACTAAATTTGCAAAAGCAGAAGTTGACGGCAAAAAATGAATCAAAACTGTAGTTCTAAATATATGAAAAAAAAAGAAAATTAATCAATTCAATTTTATTTAACTATAAAACCTTTACGATAATTTTATAAACTCTTTGAATGCTTCCTCAAAGAAAAGACCACCTTAACTAAAGGTAGAAATTGATGAATTTCGAGGGATGCATCTTCTTCTTTGGTGTGTCCTAAAATATTTGGGAATAATGTCATATTGTATGGTATATCTCGGCACATTTGCATTGTAATTGGGACGCATTTGTCGTTTGCGGCTGCGTTCTGAAAAAGCCTTCATTTTGTGGAGAACTTCTTAAGTTTTTGGAGATCCTTTTTCATTGAATTCGTAATTCTTATCACTTCCATAGAAGTATGAAAAAATTATTATAAATTATTATTAAATTCACTCATAAGTATTGTATGAGTGAATAAGTAAGAAGTTAGCAAAATATATACAAATGATTTGTCCTGAAATATTCAAGATCCAGTAATTTGTCCGAATAAATAACATAAGTTAAAGCTCAGTCGCTGATCCATTTAATTACATTATTACATTAAGATGTTTAAGAATTTAAGAAGAGCTTTAAGATTACTTTGGGTAGGATTTTGCTTCTTTCCAGATCATTATTATTGGACAACTAAGTGATGAAGAATCTATTCTTACACATGTTGTAAGTAATTAAATAAATATAATCAACAACAAATTAATAAATGTGCAAAACCTCTATCTCATAAAAGATATCAATACCAAATAAACTGTTCCTTCTCTGCAGTTGGTCACGAAATTTATTAGATTAAAAATAATGAATGACCAATTTGTTTCACTACGTCGTAATTTGCTCTCGACGATATATTATTGCCGAGTTAGAGGTTTTTCGATTTCGAAGCAACAAAGTCATTAATTTTAACGAGCTATTGCAAATTCCATAAAAAAAAAAAAAAAACAAGAAGTTCTTTGCGCTGTTGTACTTCTTGCGTATCACAAAAACTATCCTTATTCAACAATCAGTGAACTTTTTAAAGAAATAGTACAACACTAAACGCAACCATGGCACTATCTTTCTTTTCTCGAATAATTTCTGGTCATATGGTAATTATAATGAAGATTTTATTTAAACTTTTTTTGCTCTAATACATTTAATTGCAACAATGTTGTTTTGCAAAGACAAACAGATAGCACAGCTTCCAGACACTATGGCAAAAATGAGAGCATTATGCTAAAAGGTAGAGCTATTCTGGTGGCTGATAAGCAACACCAAAAATTACAGCATATATTACTTCTAACCTCAGTAGGATTCTTTTTTCTTTTGATCAGAATGCTATTAACAGATTTGCACAAATGTGGGTAAAAGTAGAATTGTCTGATACTCTTCACTAAAATACTGGAAAAAAGAATAATTATATTTACCTCTAGATATTCAACATGCAGCAATGTGACACTTTGACATTTCTGAATTATAATCGGTTAAATTTCATTTCAGTAGCTATATGATCTCATATCGTCATAATGTGAGAGTGGCAATGAATTAGAGAAAATATAAGGGCTTGCATGTGGATAGTTATTAAACGCAAATGAGAGATGATGAAGATCAGGAATAGAGTAAAGAAAAAAAAAAAGAATAACCTGATATCCTTCGCTTACAATGGCCACATTAGCGTCAATAGTATAAAACGAAAGGTAAGTTAGAAGGATTAGCATAAGTGTAACTGGTCGCATCATTGATATTGCCTCTTCTTGTTACCTTTCACAGAGCACTACTCTCTTCATATTCATTCAGAATCGAATGCAACACAGCACAGCGCAGTTCGTCGTTTCGCTCTTCTTAGTACAGATTGTGATCATTCATTTGCAACTCCATTTTTTATCGCATTCCTGAAATCAAACCCAATACGGCTATTGTCATTCTTCACATATTATTCTTATCAGGTCGTTAACACTACAGATACTGCTGAAACGAATACAGCACACAGCGGCCACTGATGAGAAAAATCCGTATGAAAAATACACATTGAATAAATGTCTACTTTGAATGGAATAACACTGTTTTGGGAAGTAATGATGATCGCATCAACACTGACTATGAATTAATAATATGCAGGGAAGATCAGTAGATAGCAGCTAGAATAACACAGTTAATTTATGCGGTATCAAACAAAGTGTGATTGGAAAAGAAAATGAAATAATTCTTTTTGATCACAGATCTTTCCTGAATGAATTTAAATTTCGAAACCAGAAGTCATTTCAGAAAATTCATATTGGCAATATTGAAATTAATAAATCAACAAAGGATGAAATAGAATCCTAACTGAAAGGTTTAAGCTCATCTGTATGCCCTAAACTTGTTACTAAAAATTTAAACAAAAAATATAAATTCTTGTTGTTTTTGGAGTTTTTTTTTGAAAAAGAAAGAATGATTAAAAGGGATTGAATGCATCTGTGAAAGGGAAGTAACAAACGAGTAGGATGGCATCAGCAGTAGCAGAATGACATGAAGAATGAGAACGAACTGTGAGATGAAGGAGCAATCTATCTATCTATCCACCCATCCATCCCGAGGCGATCCGTCAACCTTCATGAGAAATTTGTCACTTAAAAGTGCAAAAAGCTTTACCATCTCGAAGCAATTCTTTTCACTTATCTTCACTAGAAAATACAAAGGAAGATATTCTAAATATTCACTACAAAGAATGGACAGCATAAACATTTGAAAATATTTCCGATATGCTAATGAACGTTGACCTATCTAGTGACTTCAGTAAATTGTCCTCAGGTGAAAACTTTTTATATACTTCGTGATATTTACAATAGACAGGGAAGAAAATCGGAGAAATGTGCGTCGTCGTATTGAAACAATCAAACTTGTAAAACTGTAAAATCATGCATAGGAAAATCTTACAAAAGCTTGAATAAAAAAGGTGAAGTCGCTAAAGTATTGGTCCTAATGACTACACGAAATATTCCAATGCATTAATGAAAACAAATCTGTTCCGGCAGTTTAAAGACATTGCCTTTAAAGGGTTAATATAATCATTTGGCTTGGAAAGTAGAAATGACTTACTAAGAAAAGCACCTCGTGTAAAAAGAAAAATAACGAACGAAGTTGTTTAGTTCAAATATCTGAATTAAGCGGTTTTATGATAATAACTTCTCACACAAACCATGACAATTAAATAAGGGGCAAATTGAAAATAAAATTTCAAACCAAATTAGAAATGAAATTTGGACTTTAATCAATAATAATGATAAAGAATTTCAATAATTCACTTCCATCAGTGATATTCACTACAAATAGATAAAGAATAGTGTGAAATATTAAGAGACACATTTCATATTTCAATATGTTATGCTCTATTTCCCTTCCAGGGAGGTAAAGAAAATTCTCTAAAAAGGACTCGTACAATTCAGTATTAACCTTCAGTTTCACAAGTATGAATCTAAGCAGCAAGTTCTACAGCAGTCAAGACCTATGAATTCTTGGAAATAACTCATCACCAAGCTAAAATATCGGATACACACACACACACACACACGTCATACAATCACGTACACACTCAATGACATGAAGGAGTGCTAAAAGGAATAAAGCCTAAACTTAAATTAAATTTGCAGCAAAAATGCCATTTCCCAATTTCCTTGAATCACAAAAATCTTCAATTTTTGTGCCGACTTTTCATGAGAAACTTGCAAAATGTTAACCAATGCAAGCTCATTCGTCCAATATACGGATTAAAACAAATAGTGTAATGTAGTGGTTAGCATCGCATGAGACAACTTTAATGCAGTGGCATCAAACGATTTAAGATACTCAAAGTGACCTAAGTAAATTAAATGAATTAGTCTCTAAAAGTGACGTCAAATCAACAGTTTGTTGAAATGGAATGGAATGTAATACCTCGAAGAATATTACTATACTGCAAGAAGTCATAATCAATGATAGCTTTTATCAATAAGCTTTTTACATGTCTATAACTTGAATCTGATGCAATGAAGCTTTGTTAAATTTCAATAGGCAATATAACACATCGTTAAAAGAAAACAAATAAGCAACATTTTATCGGGTTGGCCATAAATTTTGTTCAATGAGCATTAAAAGGATAGATGTGTTTGGAAGAGCCAACAATGAGACAATCAAGACATAAATTAAATGTTACTAAGCCCTTGCCTACCCCTCCAAACGAAGTGTGCGCCACTACCCTACCCAAGCTCTTGACCACTGCGCGTCCACCTCTCTCGTTTGATGATGTCCTCTTCCCCTCCTCCCGCCGTATTTCATCATTTGCTTGTTGAAAAGTGCTGAAAAGGAGACGAGCACTGCGATACCACACACACACATGTAAACACATATACTGTCTCACATGAGGATGACCTTTACCCTTCAGTCTCTTCAACAATAACGGACTGGGTTAGAATGAGGAGAAAGATACTGGAGAAGTATGAGACAAAAGACTGCCAAGTAAATTCAATATAATTTCCCTTTTTTCCTTACCCTCCTTCTTCTCTCTTTCTCTCTCTTCTTCCCTACCAAAATAAAGAAAGAACAGTTCAAAAACGAGAAAGGATCAGGAATGAATATTTGGACTGCGGGGAAGAAGAGGAAGAATAGAAAATAGTAAGCTGATGAGGCGGGGATGGTAAGAATGATTAAGTGCGCCCCCTCTCCCCATCCCGCCTTCCTTTGCTTGCATTTGATGGATGGCTCAAACGACTGACTGATGACTAACTGACTGACGGACTGATGGACTGGATGGGATTGCAAAAGCTAGGCCAAATGACAAGCAAGCAATTTCTCGATGAATAGATGATGGCTCGATGGAAGGAAGTTCGATCCCAGTTCTCAGTCATGATGGATTGTCGAAGACATTGGGATGCATTGCGCACACAAAGTTTACCTTTCTCGACTTCCTCTTCAGCAAGCACCCCACGCGGATATCTTGGCTGGCATCTCAGAGTACTGCCAGTCAGGATTCTCTTTTGAGCCTTTCTCTCTCTTGTCACTTCAGCTGTCATCCTCGCTTCCTCATTTCATTTTTGTTCCAAACTCGAAAAATGACTTCGAACTCTTCCTTATTTTTGTGATAAATTGTTAGAGGAATAACGCAGCATTAGTTTTTCATTTAAGGAACCTGAAAGAATGAGAAGTTTTGGTAATTCCAGAAATACTTTTATAAGGAAAGCTTGGATTAACTAGTACTTTATCAGTGTTTCATCGTTCAGAACAATGAGCGCAAACAGGAGCGGTTCTTCCTTTCTTTCTCAACATTCGAATAATTATCTTCCAACAAATCGACAGCTGGCCCAGATAATATGCATAGCATATTATTGCCTACTGAAATATTGAATTTGCATATTAGAAGATTTCCGTCTACTGACGCTGTGCAATGTTCTTCAGTTCAACACTGAAATTTAAATACAAAGACTGACAGGGAAACGTATAAAAGTTATTTTAATTTCCCTCTAACACTGCACGAACAGAAATAACAACAATCATTTTTAAACGTTAAAATTAAACTATTCACGTGATACACCTATTGCGTCGTATTTGAATATTTTTCGGTTTTGACATAATCGTCTCTTCGGTACAAATTTAAATTGCCAAATAGATTGGAAGAATTGGAGTGAAATCCTTCGGAGGTAATAAATATGCACTTTAATGGAAAATAGTATTATATTTACATTTATACATAAAAATTGTTTTATCAATAGCATGATTTCAATGCATTTCTCTGTCTTCTGTTATGACAATAACTTTGCAAGTGATGCTTCACGTGTACTTCGGAAATGCTGATCCCTTCTACCGTCTGTGTAAGTTATCAATCATTATAAAATTGTTTTTATAAGAAATACTTGCAGACAATTTTCTCAGTAAATTACTGATTACTTGGAAAAGTTGTTATTAACAAACTTTCTGGTCTAATGAAGTATTAAAGCTGCCAGACTATTTAATAAATATCTCCTTTAATAATACAGTGACAAGAGATCGAATATAAAAAGTTTCGTATGGCAATATAAAGAAGTGAATAAAATGCCACCGTCATATTATACGTCTAAATATAACGTTAGTTGTTTGGACCAAATGATTCTATGTCCCAAAGAATAATGGATGAATTCTGCCATGGCTGGAACCTGTTAATCATATGTCACATCATGTCATCATGCCATTGCTATTTGCACTAATTAATCGCCGTAACGTACGTATCCAGCAGATTTAATTTTACGAGAAAGGATAAATGACGCATTTGGGAACAAAAATTAGTCCATTTTGTCTATTAATGATGATACAAATTAATATGTATTTCAACTTTTACCACTAATTTTATTGCAATGCATGTAAAAATATAGGAAATTGAAATGAAATGGAAGGGAACAGGAAGCCGACAATAGCGTGAAACTGATAACAGTTCTGTGTTGAGGTGCATATAATAGTATAGATAGTGGCTCCTGATAAATCGTCCACCAGCTATATATATCATGTCTTTTCTTCCTCCACTCCAATAATTCTTGACAATATTTACGAATAAATCATTGTAAAGTGTCTAGTGGTAAGTTTTATAGCCTAATAAATTACGTGGGTAACGTATCGTTTTGTGAAGGGTGAAAATTAAAAGCATTGTGCAATATAATATATAGCATCACACATTTAGCTATCATATCGACATTTTATTGTTTAAATCATTGACAACTATGAAATTGTCATTTGCATTTATAATTACTTTTTCTTC